TTAACTGTGGATTTTGAAAGTATTTTTTTTAGTTTTTGATATTAATAATAATAATAATAGCTACGAAAACGGAATTCATATTCATTTAAGGAAAAGAAAACTAAAAACCAAATAAATATTACAAAAACAGTAGTACTCTTATCATATTATTATCATTGAAATCTAATTGCAGTACGTAAATTTAAGTGTATGTTTAATGTTCAATGGCCTAAGGGGTCTTTGGTAAACTATGTAACGAATATTTTTTCAAATTTTTGTCCCACCTTCCCCTACTCACGGATTCTTAAGATATTTGTTAAACTCTCTCCCCAACTTACATAAGAAAGATTAATATTTCAAAAACAGCTTGTTCTGTTATCATAAAAGTATATCAAAGAAGATTAGGTATATTTGATTGAAGTTGTTAGCTCTTACCATAAAATTGATTTATGAAAGAAATTTTAACTTACATAAGTACGTTGTTCTTCCTCATTCCTTCCTCCAAGTAAGAGTTCATAAGGTTTCAATGAACCCCCTCTTTCCCTGCTATCTTTACTTAGGGTCGTCGAAAGAAACTCGCAAGTCTGTGATTCAAAAGTAACGGACCCGCCAAATAATGGAAATAGAACCGTAAGTTCCAAAGTTTTGGGTCCACTTAAAAATCTGGACCCGATGGGATTCCTCCCGTTGCTTGTTCCTCTTGATGGCCCTGTAATTTATTAACAACTCAGAATTTATTCAGTTTTATATACATGCACTTTCGCACTTTCTACAGTCCTAACCAAAATTTGAAAACAAGATTTTTCTTTTAAGAAAAAGGTTTTATTGTTTAATGAGACCAAAGTTTGTTTTAGTTAATATACTGAAATCTTTGGTTTTCAACATTATTTCAATAAAAGAAAACGTAAGAAATTAAGTGATGCTTTGTCATATTTTATTTAAAATGTTCTATATCTGATAAAACCCTTATTAAACCTTGATTTGGTATATGTATTTTCAATAGTTATTATTTACAAAAAAATTAGATGAGCGTGCAACTTATAGCATTCGAATTTTTTTTGGCCTTGTGGTATGTCCTTTGTACAGATTAGTTATTACTTCAGATGCCTTTTAATTTTTATTAATTTCAAAAATATGGAACTGTGTGTGCGGTTTTTTTCATTTTATGAGCATTTTAAAATAGTATAAAAACTTCTACAAGTATATTTAACAAAAATCTGAACAATTGCCATTTTTAACTATACTAAACTGATACTTGAGCTTTCTTAATTTCTGAAAAGCCAAACGAAGTTATTTTTTAACTTTTTGCCTGCCAATGGAGAAGTTTAATCATAATATGAAATGAAAACGCATATAAACTTCTCAGTTGCCAGGTAAAAGGGTCAAAAACTGACTTTTCAATTTTTTCCAAATGAAAACAAGCTTTACACTTACGTCGTTACGTCATTCTTTTTGAATATATAACATTTAGGTCTAGAACCTCCTTTAGTCTATATATTTAAAGCTATAGTAGCCACATTATATTTTAGTGTTGTTATATTCTTAAGAATTGCGTTTTAGCTGAAACAATTAAAGACAGTTTTATTAAATACCGTTTTTAAAGTTTTATTGTGTTT